TTATTTTTTAAAAAGTATCCATTGGCAATTGTCTACATATATTTCTCCTTGATATGTTTAGACTTAAAATGTGGACCAGTAATCAATATGAATTATCTGCTACCATCAGTAGTTCGCTTTGGTGCAAGGTTACCTAACTTTCTTATTTGGTTTCATTCATTCATTCATTATCCATTCATCCATCCATCCATCCATCCATCAATCCATCTTTCTTTCCTTCTTTGCAGGGCACGGCCCCAACAACAGTTGAGGATGGTGTGAAAGAGATTCTTAAAACACTTGCCCAGCTCTCTGAGAAAGAAACTGGCACTTTTGTGAACTGGGATGGAAAACCTCTTCCCTGGTAATCCATCAACTTTCAGTTAGTCTGCCTTTTAAGAGGAAGCCCTAAAGGTTTATGATTAAAACCAAGACAGAAGACGGAACCCCCCCCCCCCAATAATTAATATAATAATTGCACCTGAGGACAAACCCAACTCAAACCTAAACAACTCAAAAGCATATTGACGGGCTTACCCAAACTCCAGTTCCCATGCCCAAGGGAACATCTAGGTCTTTAAGAACTTACAGAATGCTAGCAGGTTTGGAGTCATATGAATCGCAGAGGGCATGGCATCACAGAGGGCAGAGGCTACTACAGAGAAGGCATGCTCCCTGCGTCCTGCCAGATGATACTGCTTAATAGACAGGACCCAGAGCATGCTCATGGGGTGAGCAGAAACGATCATCGAGAAGCAATCCCACAAATCTTAGCCCATGCCATGAAGAGCTTTACACATAACAATCAGCACCTTGAATTGCATCTGGAAGTACAACGGGAGCCCATGCAGCCTGTGGAGTGGTGATGCAACATGGGCGTATGAAGAGTATCCATAACTACTCGTGCCTTCTGGGCCAGCTACAGTTTCACATCATCTTCAGGGGTAGCCCCATGTGGAATGCATGGGAGTAATTGTGATGGAATGTATCTACAAATGAGGGTGGTGATGGTGGATTGCAGAAGACAGCAAGGTTCTCAGGAAGGAGGGAGCTCATTCCAAGAAGGGCAGAGAGACAAGAGAAAACACAGTCCGGAGCTGGATTGTGGGATGTGTAAGAGGTTTAGATTAGCCACTCCCTAGAATCTCCCAGGGTATATCCACTAGTTGCAGTAGTACAGATTTAGTGTGGCAAGATTTTGTCTACATGTGCAAACAATAAAGGAACTAAACTCAGTTGGACTGTTTCCCTGTTGTTCTTGGGCTGGGCCTGACAGTAATCCACTTGGGAGGTGTAATGGTATGTGGGAAAGACATTGGGAGATGGGGCAAAGAGATATTACCAAGGGGACTGTCTGATAAGAGACAGCATAGCCCACAGTTGCATAGTGGGTGGGGAAAGAGGCTCAAAAGGGACCCTCCCTAGTTTCTCGGGCTGTAAAGAAGACAAGGGGAGATTTGTACTTTCAGACTTGCAAGACTTTGTTAATGTAGCTTTACAATAAAGTAGAATTAGCTCATCTGGTCATGTTTCCTGTCTGATCTGCCTAGTAAAGCTGACAGCTGATCAGTGCACCACCAGCAGTAACCCAATTTCTTACAAAGCCACCCAAAGGGATCCAACACTGTCTATCACCAGGCAAGATGCCAAGTGCCAGCTAAGTCCTCCAATGCTGGGAGGACACTTGAATACTTTCTCAGCACCAGTATGATCATAGCAAGATTTCTCATGCTGACTTCTAGACTTGGGGAAACTCCCAAAGACTCCACAGTCCACCACAAACCTCCCATGGTTCTACAGACCATCACTCACGTATCATCAACTTCTGTGACCCATCACTCACACAGCACCAGCCTTCTTGTCAGGTTAAAACAACAAGAACAACCCCAATGCAAGCTAGTCTTGTATCAATATCTCCACTGGCACCAACTGTCCTTCTTGAACACACGTTTTGAACAGTGGGCAGTAGAAGACACTCTGCAGATAATGACTTGAATATAGAACAAAAAATAGTGGGAGGTCCAAGAAAAGACTGTTGTGATTTTTAGAGTTTTTTTCACATGCTCAGTTTAGGTCAGACTAGCCTTTTATTGTAAATCAGAAGTTGCTCTGGACTTTCTTTCACCACAGCAAACAGCTAGAAAGAAAGAAATTCAGCCTTTAAGATTTGTTTCATTCTGTAATAAATCATTTTCCAGAATTGTTGCAACATTGCTGCCAAACGTAAAAAAAAAAAATCCAAACTGATTATAGCATTTCCTGGAATTTGGGGAATATGAAACTTATTTTGGTGATCAGAACTGGAATAATATAACTGTGGTAAAACATCTTGTAACAGTTCAAGCATAATATTTACGGTAAATTTAATATTTGTCTTCCATTGATATCCCCACTTTGGTATATCATTTGTCCTGTTTAAATTTTATGTCTGTTTGATCATACAGTTGTTGTTTGGTTTCTAAATTGTACTTCAGTAACAACTTGTAAATAAGTCCCAACAAATGTTCTGAGTTTTGTGTTGCAAGTTTTCAAATTCAGTCAAGTATCTGAGCGTTCCTCCTTGCTTTTGTAATTCCTTTTAAATTGTGCTGCTTAAAGATATTGAAACCAGTGAGGTAGTTCTGGCCATTTCAAGGAGAGAATCTCAAAAGTTTTCATCTGGGTTTTATTAAAAATTAAGTATTGTGATCTACATGAATTATTACTCTTTTTTTGGTATATTCACTTTCATGAAAATGAATACCTAATGTTGCAGCAAAGTGCACAAAGTCTGTAATTATTCTTTTTCAATAATAATGATAATAATAATAATAATAATAATAATAATAATAATAATAATAATAATAATATTTTATTAAACATGTATGCTGCCTGACTCCCATGACTCTGGACGGCTCACAAGAATCAAAGAAATTACAGTAAAATCAATAAAAGATAAAGGATGCCAAGTGCAACAGACCAGATGGAAGGAAACCAGGGGTCTCCTTCTCCCTCACCTGCAGCTGGGATACCCACAGAATCATTTTATTCATCTATCCCTGTTCGGTTCAGCCATTGTTCTTGAGTTAGGATAACAGGTGAAAAGAGAACTGATGGTGTTTCAGCTTTCCATTGAAAAACTTGTCATTTTCATTTAATACATATTTCTAGGATCTGTCAGTTCCTGACTACTGAGATGGCAAAGCTTTTTGTTCATGCCCTGGTTATGTCTCACTTGGCTTATTGCAGTAGCCTGTTGGTTGGGTTACCTGAGACCTCAAGCCACCATTGATTCATCTTCAGAATGCAGCTATTGTTATTATTTCTTATTAAACTCCCACCTCTTTTCATTGCCAACAATTACATTGGCCTTTGTGAAATCACCAGTATAAATGGCTGCCTTGGACACGTTGTGCCTTGTGTATGGGTATCCCAAGCTATTTGAAAGACCTACTGGTGTCTTGTAAGCTTCTGTGCTTGTTCCTAATAGCAGATTGGAGTTGACAGCTTCTCCTGTGTGCCAGAATAGCCATGTTATGGTTGAGAGACTCCTCCGCTTGGCTCTCATTCTTTGGAGTCAGTTCCCACCTGAATTATATTTCCAGTCTGATCTCTAAAAAGCACTAAAATTCTCCTTTGGGGGAGGTTTCTATGAAGATGTGAACTTAAAAAAACTTGTTAATATGCAGATGTTATTATTATGTAGCCTTCCTTGGAATTCTCTCAAGCGTATACAGAGAGAGCTAGAAAAGCTGTCAAAACAAGCACCGTGTTTGATCTTTAGAAAACTACAACATCTGGATTCTTTTAGTCTAGGACAAAGGATGGCCAAAGAAGGCTCACTGAAGTGTACAATATTATAAATGTTATGTGGAGAAGGGAAAATGAATTATTGTTCTGATGCAAAACTAGTGGTTTAGATTATTCAGTAAAGCTGATTGGCTAGAAATTGAGGATGGACTAAAGGAAGTATTTTACAGCCCTAACTTGCAATAAACTTCAATAGTCCTTGGATGAGCTACTGCTGACCACTTTAAAGAGGGACACACAAATTAAATTGATGACTTGTGGTTTAAAACCACAACTTATATACTACTGCCATCTGGGCACTTTCATGCCTGGATTCGAAACCAGTTTTTAAAAAATGTTGATCACGTATAGAATATTTGCAACTGAACTAATCATGCTGAAACCGAGTAAGTTTCCCTGTTTGAGAAGGAATCCCTTCATCAAACAAATATCATTAACTGTTACACTGGCTTAAAAATGACACATTCAGAAAGGTTAAACCCACCAACTGCTCTCAGCTATGGTTAAGTTCAGAAGTCTTCCTGTGCAGAGACAGTATATATTTGGGAGTGTGTAATGCAATGAACGTGTTATTAATGTGCCGTTTCTGCATTTTCATGAGCATCTGCTTGGCCGAAGCTTGGAATCCAGATAAAATTCTGCAGGCAGCTGGAATTAAAAAATGAGATTATGGGCACAACTCGATGCTGAATATGTGGCCATTTGTGGGAGTCTCTGTTCCTTGCTGAATGGATGAACAGACTAATGGCTGTTGTTAACTGCTATTATAATTATTGTAAGGAGCATATATTTTAAATGGAGCCATTTCATCATCCATTCAGACCGCTACATAGTTGTTGGCCAAAGTATTTACCATACCCATAAGACTGGCACTCTGCGTCCACCCAGCATATAACACAAAGGCAGGATCACCTCTATGACAAGTGCAAAGGTGTGAGCGAAAATGTTCAGCGCAGCCTAAAATAGCAGATATGTCTGAAGCAGAGAAGTGAACAAGACATCTTAGTTCCATAAGATGGCAGCAGCTGGTAAGACAAATATTATCTAATATTCTTCCTGGAGAAGCATGAAGGTATGTGTGAACACATACAAGCACATAAAACACTAAAAATAGCCTCTACTTCAGATTGTTTTTCACATACTTTGGAAGATAAAATGATCCAAGAATGTCAAGACAAACTTTTTCTCATTCTCTTGAGCAGGAAGTCTATTGCTGGAGCTAACCCCCAAGAAATTGCCAGAATGATCACAGCATATATTAGTCCAAGTACCAGAAGATGGCCCTGGTAGATACCACAATGTTCTGAAAGGTTACTGTCAGTTGATAGTCAGGCAGTCAACCCAAAGCAGCAGTCTTCTTCTGCCCCTCAATAGCTCCTTAGGGAAGCCCTGAAAAGGCATGTACAACTGCACACTCCCGAATCTAGGATGATTGAGGCTAGGTCAAAATTAAAACTGGGTAGTTCTTAAAAAAAATCCTCTGCATTCAAATTGCCTGGCCACGTTTTTCTTCACTATCTTAGGTTCCTGTAGGCCCACCAAGAATGATTCTTGCTTCACCTCTTTTGAACTCTTCTTCTTCTAGAAGCTCAGAGGATGGAAGATCAACTCAAACATATCTATGCATTAAGAGCAGGTATAGACACGTAGCCCTAAAACCTATTATGTGTATGTATTCGGCAGGGCATGCCTAATATGGTGAATGTTGTGTAAGCTTACACCAAGAATTTATGAAATTGAAGGCTCAGTGGCAATTGAGCTTCCTGCTGTTTAATATGCCTGATACTCTTCTTTATGAAAGAAGAAAAACGTTGCTCTTTGCCACTTCATAGAATCTGCATGAATGTAAATGAATAACAAATACACATGTATGTGTAATTAACATCATGGCCATGTGTAAAGTATGTAAAAAGATAAGTGTTTGTTATCTAGATATTCTCCTTTTGTACATTCTAGATCTGAGTGCTGTTTTCTGAGGCTGCCTCCTTTCAGTAGCTAAACCCTCCAGATTATATTGGTGTAGGCTTTCAAACCCTCCAGATCTCTCTCTCTTTTGGCATAATGTTGCTCTCAGTCTGGGGGAGCAAAGAAGGGAACAAAGGGGAAAGTAAGGGCAACAGGAGAATCAGAGGCAAAGATGCAGCCAAGCTGCCTAACCTAACTCAATTAGGAGTGTTGGCCCTTGAGAACTTCAAAAAGGGGAAGCGTATCTTCTCATGGGGAAGAGACTAAAGATGCAGTTGAGGTATAAACTTGATCAATGGGAGTGTTGCCCTGAACATGAGAATGATACCATATAGCCACGTCATCCTGATGAAACTGCATGACGCATGAACTTCAGACTCAGCAACTTGGCCAGAGCATCTGGTAAAAGACAATTGATTGAAGCCGGTTTACTTAAAGAAAATTGGATTCACAATGAAGATGAAGCAATGTACCCAGTGACCAAACGCGAAAGGCTTTCCCAGCTGGCTTCTTCCACATACCCAGAGTGGGGAAAGGATGAAGCAATTTGCCTGTTTATTCAAAAAGGTAACTTTTTATTGTTTCCTTTCATTTATGTGATGAATTTAGAAAAGGTAAAAAAGAATCAGATTCATCAGAACTCATAAGTTGTTCATAGGCTATAAATCTCAGTCTTTCATGGGGACCCCCAATGACTCCCTTGCCCAGTATCTCAAGCTTTAAGGCCACCACTGGTTGCTTCCTTCCTTGGTCAATGTTTCTTAATGAATTTACAAATTATCATTAACAAAAGAGAGATTTTTAATCATTTTTTATTTTAATTCACGCAGTATCATCTTAACAAAATAGAACAATATACTGGAAGTATAAAAAGTTCTAGAGGACCTTTTTGCAGTCCAAGTCAAGACCTACTTTTCCAGATGTGGCATTGGAGAAAAGTTGCTCATCCACTTGGGCTAAAGTATATGGTTTAGATTCTAGAGATCTAGAAAAAAATCTCTTCTGCTTGCGAGACAGCATAGGAAGAAATGGATGCTTTGCAGAATGCTGCCAGTGACACCTAGAAGTATCCAAACGGATCATTGGGATCTACAGCCTGAAAGAGCCTGGCTGAGTCACGTTTTATAGGCATCAGATAGAGCAGCTAAAACAAGTGAGAGTTGGAGCACGTGCACCAGAGAAGGACACATTTAGCACTGGAGATAGAAAACTGCATTGCCTTTGATGAGAACGTTGTCTTGTAGTGCAGAGAAGCAGACTCTTGGTTGTCTCACCAGGGAACAAGATGCCCTTCCCAGTTAACAAATGTGCCGTGATCTTTCTCGGAGAGTCCGGCAAGGGTGTGCATAATGGTTTGCAAACTCTGCTCCATTGTCAGTGGGGGTGTCCCCTGGAAAAAAATAGGCAAGGGATGAAGGAAGTTCATATTGAAAAAAGTCTGAAAGCCTAGGTAACATCAACTGACAATGAATTCCATAAGACCCAAGGACGTCAAAACCAGAGAATCATTCTTGACTGAACTTTCCACCCAGATTCTGATCTCACGCAGATGATGAGAAGCCCCCTTTTAGAAGGAAAACCAGGAAGGATCCAAGAAAATTCAAGCCAATAGTTTAATATGGTATATGCAACATGTATTTGCAAGAAAACATTCTTAGACATGACATTATATCAAAGGACAAGTCTTGTTGAAGAAGAACCAGGATAGGTTTTAGAATGGAGAGTCCTGTTTGTTAATTTTTGAGAATGACTACCAGCACATTAACATTTATGCTTGCATGTCACCCCCATAATTAATGGAACCACTCTTGACCCAGTTGACCCAATTTGAGGGAATTGCCTACTGCATCATAATGTAGAATCCAAGAGGCTCAATTTCACATGGCTAGTTTTTGATTCAGTGTTTTTCATAAACACAGTCCTTAGGTTTCTACATTCCTTCGTTCTTCTACTTTATGACAGATATATATATATATCTGTCATATATATATATATTCTTTGTACTTTTTATAATAAAAAAAATCAGTCCAATAGCAGCTAACATAATTAAACAAATTCGCGGATAGAGATGTAGAGAAGTTTTTGATCCAGGAATGTAACATTCTGGTGATTTCAGGAATGTTCAGATTCCTTCAGGACCACGCTGAACCTCCTTTGAGATCAGGCAATTCCAAGGGCAATCTGGCTGTTTCTGGAAGTAAATCTCCCAAACTGGAAGTGTTTCATAATATTTGGCGCATATTGTTCCAGACAAAGCCTGGTTTAAGATCAGACTATCCCAAGAAAAACTCAAACCACATCTGCTGAAATTGTTCAGAGAAATTGCTTCCAGAAACTGCTGGGCCATCCCTGGAATGTACGCAAGAGAAGATTCAGCATGGTCTGAAGTTCATTGGAATATTCTATTCCTAGTCCAGCTAATTTTGTCTGACCTTGCTTGTCTGCTCTATAAAATGTGTTATTTTTCCTCCAATTCACTTACCATTTTACTTCCCATGTCAGTCTGCACCCATCCAGGATGCAATGCAATGCACAAGATCTCATCTTTGGCAAGATGCAGGGACTGGCATTTAGTGAGCATATTCAAAGCAGACTGTGAGGGAGACAGAGAAGGAGAAGATAAATGAATGGTTCATCTGAGTGCTCTAAGACGCCATTCCCTTCAAAGGTGGCTTCTGTAGTTGAAAGGCTGACTTGGGCAATATGTTGAACCCCAGAGGCCTGCAGAAGACCAGAACGTTCATGTGTTGTATTGGTAAAGATGTGCTATCATCTCCTCCTACTCTTTTCTCCCAGGTATGACTCACTTCCTCCCCTCCCACAATCCTATTGGTTGCGATTCGATGTTGATTGATAGAAGGAGAAAAACGTCTATTCAAAATGTTAGTTGAACCTACTCAGGTCATGTTCTCTGCCCTTATTTGATGAAGGGTGTTCTAGTGGGAAAGCTCATAGCTATCTCAAAAGTCATTTTTGATAGCACATCTGGAGGTACTCTCATGCCCAAATGCCTGCCTGTCTCTAATGGAATCTGAAGAGGTATCACAGTTGACCATCTGATCCTTGGCAGAGGAAGGAAGGAAGGAAGGAAGGAAGGAAGGAAGGAAGGAAGGAAGGAAGGAAGGAAGGAATTAAATTTTCTTATCTTTGATTGTAGTCAGCATCTTTTGATAGAAAAGTTCAAATATTTTGCTTTTATCTTGACATTTTAGAAAATATTCACAGTATCTACTAATCTCTGTCACTGGATTTGTTACACTATTTTTACCATTCTTAAGGAGGCAAACCATCATAAACCATAATAATGTTTTTTCTTTCTTTTTTATGTCCTGGTTGGGGATGTGTTCATTTAGCCAGGGGGATGAATTATGATCTGCTGATATCCTTTAAGAGGGAGCAGACTGGGTATCACTTCTTTCTTATTTGAAAAATTTCTAGCTGGTTTGCATCCAGCCTTCTCTTCCACACATACACTAACTGTATTTTCTCTTTCACATGCACATGACAGGTTGAGGGCCTGGGGTGCAGAAAGAAGGTGGCATGGAAGTGCCCTATAAGGTTTATTTTTGTATTTAGTAAATGACCTCCTGGGTCCCTTCCAGCTTCATGAATGATTGGCATCATGAAAAACATTGCTTGAAAAACATTGCTCTAGGGTGAAACTCAATTAACGTGGTATTGAATTTATTGCAACACTAATAAAAAAGCAAATCTTCTTGGTTTCCAATGGCCTGTGCCAACCTTACTCAGCAGCAAGATATCAACTCATTAATTCTAGGCAAAGAG